CATACATACATACATACATACATACATACATACATACATACATACATACATACATACATACATACATACATACATACATACATACATACATACATACATACATACATACATACATACATACATACATACATACATACATACATACATACATACATACATACATTACATACATACATACATACATATATATATATATATATATATATATATATATATATATATATATATATATATATTCATACATTCATACAGACAGACAGACAGACAGACAGACAGACAGACAGACAGACAGACAGACAGACAGACAGACAGACAGACACATATACAAACAAATATGAAGTTCCGTAGAAGAGAATTGTCAGGCCTTCACATATTCTAGGACAATATATGTATGTATGTATATATATATATATATATATATATATATATATATATATATATATATATATATATATATATATATATATATATATATATATATATATATATAATAAATAAGGCCTTCTGAAAAAAAAAGCAACAAGGAAGGGCTGCTTATAAATCAAATATTTGCCAATGCTTTTTTCTTTCGTATGTCCGTTTGTAAGCTACGCAAAGGCGTATCAAGAATGATCAAATATGTTTGAAGAGCCTTTTGAGGCTGTGTCAGAGTTGAGGATGTGGTGTGTGTCTCTTTGTGCATGGTGTGTGTGTGTGTGTGTGTGTGTGTGTGTGTGTCTGTGAAGAAGTGTATGTAGGTGCATTTGTGACACATATAATAGAGATAGAATGTATAACTGTACCCTATTCGGAGCATTGGCCGTGTCTTCTTAGACTTCACAGGCAGCTGATGTGGAAACTTTGGCTTTGTTTGTTCAAAGATTGAACCATCTAACACAGTATTGGTATAGAAATACCACATTGAAATACTACATCACGTTCAGATGTGTAAGTACTGGGGAAGGAGTTAGCCAGCGAAATGTAAAAGAAACCGTTAAAAGATGTTTAAGGAATAGGTGGGCTGGACTTACAGAGGAAGGGAACATCTTACAAGTCGCACTTTCCGAGTCGTGTTTAAAAAAAAGGTGCAAGGATATGTCGTCAAAGAGTGACATCTTGTGGTCATAAACGTATGTAGTTGTAAGCTTTGAACGAGCTAATTTTGTTCTTAATTTTTTGTTGTAATGTGTACAGATGGAAAGATAAGACGAATATATTTAGATGTATCGTCGGCCTTGGCTTAGATGTTGAGAGCGTACTTTTTACTATCGGGGTACCGGGTTCGCTTCCAGCTGCGGACAATTTAGCAGCAGAACGTTATGCGTCGATTTTGACAGTGGTATCGAGAGCTAGCCGTTTAATGAGCAATGGCAAACTACTAAAAGTACAATCTGCCTAGAAAAACCACAAAAGCCACACACACACACACAAATGTTGTTTTCGCAAAGTCCTGTAAAAGATACGCAACTAACTTAATTATGATGTGTATTGGTGTTCTTGTACTAAAATGTGTGGAATGGTGTATTCAGAGTAAAATAGTTACAATTGACTTCTGCCGCTTTTATAGACTCATTTTTGGCCGGTGTATGATATACCCCTGAAGGTGGGATGGGTGTGGTTATGTTTAGTCTGAGGATTTGAAGTAAAATAACTAGAGCAATCACCAAAAACTATACCAGTTCGGAATTTAGTTTTGCTCTATCTCCTATTAAAAATAGTTAACTGTAACAAAAATAGATGAGTCTATATTGTGTCTGCTCTCTAGAAATGGAGTATCAATATTGACACCGTCTTAGACGGAGGTCAACAACTGGCGGAGTATGGAGGGACATTCAGTCAAGGTTGCTTTAAGTTGCCTGGCTGCATATTTTTAGAATTGTATTTCACTAACATGAGTAAATTTGATTATCCCTATATTTGAAAATTGCGAACGTTGCAATTTTCAAGACTGCGTGTTGTAAAATACACCAAGCAGACATGCACACTAAGATGTTTTGTGTAGTTTAAAAATGAAGAGTGAATATATCTTTAGACAGAATACTATCTCAAATCACTTAAAATATCTCAAAAGATAGGTTAACATTGAATTAAAAAAAAAAATTGCACTTCAGTTGACGAAAAGTAGTATGTTAAGTTAATAACCGGTATATTTTTTCTTCTGTCGGTGCTATAGTTATATAAGGAATTACAGCCGGATGTATAGTTTAAAGACAGAAATGTAACAAAAATCGATATGGGGTCGATTGAGGGAGTGGGAGCTTGTGAGCTAAGGGGACAATGGTATTGATTGTTAGCAGCAGAGGGGGATAGGCTGACTTTCTATTTCCTTTCAAAAATTTGCCTTTAACGAGATGCATGTGGTATTTATTTTCACCCTAGAACTCACAACTGGACAATGAGGGAAATATTTAAGAATCTATGAATTAGGTCGACAGGAGATACGTTACAAGGGCACCGGGGAGTACTTATTTTTGGGGGTGTCGGTTGTGTGGTGAAGACAGGGGGTAGAGGGCTGTGTTTTGATCTGTTCCCATCAGCGGGTAACCTTCGTCAGTTGCATTGCAGAAGAAGTCAACTCATTTTTTTAATTGAGAGGTAGATGTGGTCATCTTAGGAAATGTTACACATCGTCATCGAGTGCCTTGCCGGGGGATATGGGCGAGTCTGAGAGTGCATGGGAGGGGAGAGCTACAAATAATTGGAGAAGGTGGAGGGAGGGGGCGTTTGCTGTCCTGGATCAGTGTAGTGAGTCTCATTTTCTTCCAGTTAATTTATTCCCGATAGATGACGTCAGTAATAAATGTGAGTGGAATATTTTGACTCTAACTGGGACGACACGGGAATTGTTGAGTCTTAACTTCACGGGAATTATAGAAAAATGCTGATAGTCAAACTTTGCGTGAAGTATAATTATTCACGTGTAAGAGAAATGCTGACAGTCGAACTTCATGCGAAGTACGATGAATCACGGGCCACACACAACTGCCGGCCAAATGGAATTCGTGGGACTGAAGGGACACGGAGTATTCGGGAAAAACGAAGCGGGGCATTAGAAGGCTATATAATGTCGTAGAAAGGGCTGAGAGGGAGTCACGTTTGGGCCCAGGAACAGAGTGCATGGACAACGGTGGAGGATGTGTGGATTCGACATATGTTTGAGTGTTTTTGTTCCTCCAACGTCCAACTTGGCAAACCAAGCTGGCAGGCAATATGTCGGCGGGCCGTGTTAGTTTTTCTGTTAGGACAGCTGTTGTGTTTTCGTTTATGATGCTAGTGTAGGACGATTGTGATTTCAGATAGAAGGTAATAATTGATACTTTGATATTTGAGTTATAATGTGTGCCTGGACAGTAGTCTATTTTATGTGCCGGCTGAGGAAGCCGCGAGTGGAAGATTAAAGTTCTGAAACAGTATCGTGTTGTTTTTTCAGTAGTCCATTTTCTGCTCGTCGTGTGATGTCGGTGTGTGAGGTAGCAAGCTTGCGATGACGGGAGCCAGATAGAAGGTAAAAGGAGAATCAGAATGGTGCACAGGTTTATAGGCTATACAGTTTATGTAACAGTCGACACTAGTTGGTGACCAAAGTCAAGGGGAGATAAACTTGCGTACCCTTAGTCAACAGGTTGTTGGATGTTGATTTGTGAGCTGTTAGGTTGCTAGAATATTTATTTGTGTATGTGTTTGTTATTACAATTATCTGTAGAGTGTTGGAGCAAGTAATGATTTATCTGTGACCCTGGAAAATACACAAACTATACATAAACATTATTATATATGACAAAGGAAATATATAATGGGAAGGAAAAGGGGGGGGGGGGGGAAACAACTGTAATGAGATACTTGTTATATAATTCTTCTTTTTTTTTTCGGTTGACATATCAATTTGATAATTAGAGGTGGTGTGGCTGTATTATGTCAACGCGGTGTTGTCATTTATATATCATATGGAAAGATGCTTTAAACAAGATGTTATTTGAAAAGACTAACTTTCTGATTCTTTACGTTTCTAAATTACAAGTGTCTTCCATACATAATCTAGTCATGTTGATTATCTTCTTTGGTATTCAAATTTCCTGCATTGCATCTACAGACTCTTTTATGTGCCTAGCATATGTCTTGTTAATATATCTCCCTTCCCCCCCCCCCCCCCGCTCCCCAAAAAAACCCACACATATACGTCTCTTGTGTTCTCACAATGTTTCTCTACTATTGACTATAATGCGAAAATAAAGGTCTAGCCCTATATGCCCTATACATCTAAAGGCATGAAAAAGGGACCTTTTTATAACTTTTTATATGTAAGAATGTAAGAAAGTATTCGTGATAAACAAATACAAGAGAAAGAAGCGTACAGAAAATACACAAACAGGCACTGAAATGGGAAACAAATGGACTGAGTAAATAGGATTATATGTGTTCAAAGCTTACTTCACAGCACACACACACACACACACACACACACACACACACACACAGAGAGAGAGAGAGAGAGAGAGAGAGAGAGAGAGAGAGAGAACAGTATTAAGCTTTTCAAAAAGCAAACAATATAGCTAACTGAAAGGACGTCTTTGTAAAATAATGAGTACAACTTTTTAAACTGCACCCAAGAATGCTTTGTGGTACAAACAGTTCATAGTTCTTTTTGGATCTAATTATTCAATAGTTTTTAGGCGTGCGGATGTTTCCATCAACTAATGGAAACACGCCACTGGATAAAAGTGCCTTTTAACAACATTAAAAAATGAAGATAATAAAAAATAATTGTGCTTCAAGTTACTACTTCAAAATTGAACGTGTTTTCTGTTTATTTTCAGAAATACCATCTGATTTTTTCCCCTTCTTTTATGAAGAAGACGACATGATTCTCCTGATATTCAACAGAAAACAATACGTTACTTCACAAGTCAATGCTGTCAGCCAGCCCGGAAAACAGAGTCGATTGTTAGGTGAAAACAACAACTCTACTTGTATACCTATATTCAGTAATCAAAAACAGAACTTGCATATATGAATACGGAAAGATGCAGTATTTAAACCCAAACTTCATTGTTCAGATTTTCATTGTTGCTCTCAATCTGAGATATGTGTTCTCGCAAACGATAAGTAATCCTTTGGTGACCAATGCGACAACTATAAACGATCTTCAGTATGTCCTGGGACCAAATTATAGGTTGTTTATTGCTGCATATTGGCTGTATCTAAGGTCACCGTGTGATATACTTGCATTAAAAATGGCCGAAGATGTTAGTTCAAGACGGCTGGAGAAATGTAAGTACAAGCATGTATGTCCGTCTGTATGTATGTATGTCCGGTAGTTACTGTTTTTTTTTGGTTGTCGTCCTCGTCGTCGTCATCATCATCATCATCATACATCATCACCATCTTCGTTATCATGATTTTCATCATCGTCGTCATCATCATCATTATCATCGTCATCATCGTGATCATCATCATCGTGTAGCAAGTATTTTACAGAAGGTGGATTCCTTCATAAGTCCCTAGATAGACATTGGGTCATTTACCAAATTCTCGGCTTCATGCCGATTCTCAGAGAATCAAAGTATCCTGTGCTTACCACTGTGGTGGTCGACCCTTGCTCATTTTTTTTTTTTTTTTTTTTACTTTTTAAGAATCACTTTTTTTTTTCTTCATTTTTCTGAACCAGTGGTTCAAAGGCCTGTGGGTAGTGGGGTAGTTGGGGGGTGGGGTAGTTGGGGGTGGGGGTTGGGGGGTGGGGTAGTTGGGGGGTGGGGTAGTTGGGGGGGTGGGGTAGTTGGGGGGTGGGGTAGTTGGGGGGTGGGGTAGTTGGGGGGTGGGGTAGTTGGGGGGTGGGGTAGTTGGGGGGGGGTGGGTTAGTTGGGGGGGTGGGGTAGATGGGGGGGGGGGTGGGGACGTCACTATCTCCTATACTACAAAACGTACGAGTTTTCAGGGGGCGTCCAGCAGTTGAGAAATTGAGTCCATTTGTACGTGTTACGATCTATTGTACTAACATTTATTTAAATTACCTATGAATGAAATATCTTGTGCAACTACGAGTATTTATAAAACAAAAAGCCAAGTACGTTTTTGTTTTCATAAGCACTTTGTAGAGCAGATATTAGGGAGGAAAAACAGGTTCAAAGAGGAAAAATATGACAAGTTTGAAGCATTTTTCAGTTCCATCGGAGCAGATTATATTTTTCATTGACATATAAGTCTGCCTATGTATATTAAATATTTTAGAACCAGATTTTGTTTCACTGAAAGAAAAATGTCCAGTTCTAACCCAACTGTGTTAGTTGATAGGCGATCTTATCACCTGCGTAAATGAAATAGAATCCGATATCTGTCAATTTTTTAAATACAAAACAGGAGTTTTTCACATGTTCATTGCATCGGGCAAAATAAAATGTAAATGACCATTCTATAGCCTTCAGTCGTGTTGGGTATATAGGGCTAGATATTATTTTATAGATCAATCGGCGTGTGGGTGATGGGGTTAACATCATGCCGGCAATCTTTACTTCCCAGAATTTCATATGGTACCCACTCGAGGCTGGGGCGACCTGGCAGCTAAGGTCATTTTTGAGTTGGAAACAAGTCCGGCTCCCTTGGCGCATACCCACGACTTTCGGTTTTGTCCGCTACACCATGAAGGCTCCCCAGTATGGTAGGGCTCGACGGGTATTTTTAATACACCTATTAGCAATCGACAGGTGAAAACTCCCCGTGTGGGTTCCAGGACCCCATTGTGGGAAAAATAATACCAGACCCACTAGACAGCAATCATGTCGTCAGAGTCGAGTAAATGGGACCCTCTTTCGAAGTCAGACTGCAACTGCCCGAGCGGCACGCAACAGCCAACTGCACACAACACAAATAAGCCAGGAAAACGAATGTACACTCAAAACTCTGGTCTTGGCTAAGCCAAAGTCAAAATGGATGAACAGCCAGTTCTTTTCAACTTGGCCCTAGAGTAAATTATGAGGAAATAGAAAAAAATAATGTACTATAGGTGAAACTACAATAATATTTTGTTATGTAGATTGTTACACATTTTCGGACCTATTAAAGATGCAATAGGCGTGGAACAGAGAGTTAGAAGCAACAATGAAATTCATAATCAGTTTAAATCACTGACATCATGAGGGCTTAAATGGCTGGAGCATACTGAGAGAATATCACATGACAGAGAAGTAAAAACTGAATACACAAGGGATCTGAATGGTTGTAGACCACGAGGCAGACCAAGAAGACTAAGAAGAAATAATGTCAAGACAGATCTGCAAACACTTGGTGTCACCAAATGGAAAGAGAAGGCCAACCAGAGAAGTGATTTGTCGTATAGCATGAGGCAGACCAAGAAGACAATGGAGAGATAATATCCAAACAGAGCTGCAAACACTTGGTGTCACCAAATGGAAAGAGAAGGCCAACCAGAGAAGTGATTTGTCGTACAACATGAGGCAGACCAAGAAGACAATGGAGAGATAATGTCCTAACACAGCTTCAAACACAGAGATGAATTGAGGCGGGTGATATCTGCAGCAATGAGCCTCGAGGGCTCGTAATGCTGGAGAAGAAGAGGAAGAAACATGATACTGATATATACAATTTAAAATAAACACATGCTTCTGTCATCATAAACACATCGTCGAAATCATGCCTTCCAAGTCTTGTCTTTGACTAACAATTTCATCAGTATGCCCACAGTTCACTTTGATAATGTCATCCTTATAAATTCCCTCATCCTGCGGTGAAAATAATAATCAATATACACAAAAGCTTTACTGATACTTTTATCAACATCCATACATGACCCCTGACGATTTCATCAACGTACGCGCATAGTACACATTACATTCCGCAAAATAAAATACGTATTGTCGGTTTCGCTCCTTAAACTTGAACTGATTAAAAAAAACGACGTAGAGTAGAGGTTAGTTTGCACTAATGTGTGCAATTGGCAGGTAAGAGACTTGAGCTGTGTACAAGCAGACTCCAGGTAAGATGACTCAACCACTTAACTCTAATGTAAATATAAGAGGAATGCGTTTTATTACTGTCAGTAAATACTTTGCATTCATTGCTCTCTTCACGATTCAATCAGATACCCATTGTGTGTCTAGGGAAAGTAGTAGCATTAAATATATTCATAATTCTCTACACAAATTTCGTTATATATTTTATGTAAATATTATATATGATAATTAAATATAGCTGTAATTACAGCAACTAATCAATTTTCTTATTTAGGCAATGAGGGAAATACAAAGAAAGAAAGAATGACACGCATTGGCAAGGCGTCATAAGCTTTTAATTAGGTTAGCTGCGTATCCTTTACAGGACGTTGCAGAAACGACCCCAACTGCACCTAGCTGTTGTGTGGTTTTTCTAGGCAAATTTACGTCCATAAGTTTGCCATTGCTTCCTGGACGGTCGGCTTTCTTGATACCGCTGTCGCAACCAACGGCAAGTGGCCCACAGCAGGCATCGAACCCGGCATTCCGGCATTACGAAGCGTTCGCATCGACTTAGCCACAAAGCCGACAAGCTTTTAATAGCTTGAACAAAATTTGGAACTCTAAACTGTGTAGTTTTAAAACCAAGTTATGCATTTTCAGTTCTAATGTTGTTTCACTTTTAACATCTGTCAGTGAAGGTCGGAGAACTATTAAAGATATTGCACGAAAGTTAAATGTGTTCGGAAAAAAAATATGAAAGAAATGATTAAAAAAAAAAAAAAAATGGGATGAATTCAGAAAAATGTAAAGAATAAGAGAAATGTCTGGACAACCACTAGTATCCACAGGTAAAAGATAGAGAAGATGGCGTTCCACTAGACACATCATGAGAAGAAACCAGGGATTAAGGAGAGGCAGATGCCCAGAAGAAACCCTAAGACGAACATTGATGAGAGAGGCCAAAGCTGCTGGACTAAATTTCATTCATGATAATAAATTGATTGCGCAGAATAAACCAGAATAGAGGAACAGACTGCGAACCTTACGTGAGATATAACAGCAAAAGAAGAAATTGAATGAATGTATTAAATATAATTATTAAATCATACGAGAGAATTTACAATGCAGCAAATTATTATAATTATTAATAATATGCGCTTAAACTAGGATTATGCCCCGGGACCAACCGCCCCTTTGTTTCTGCCTAGAAAATATCAAAGGCGGCCACGGGGCCCTGTGTCGACGTGCATGCGGCTATGCTGAATCAGTAATCAAGATCTGGTACCATGGGCGTAGGAACCCGGGAGCTTAGGATGCCAGGGGTCCCCCCCCCCCTTTTCCAATATTTGTTTAAAAGTTAGTTGCGTATTCTTTACAAGACGTTGCGGAACAACAACAACAACAAAAAAAAAAAAAAAAAAAAAAAAAAGGGGGGGGGGGGGGTGGTTGTGGTGTTGTGGTTTGCTTTTTCAAGGCAAATTTAACGTTCATTAATTTGCCACTGCTTTCTCAACGGTCAGCTTTTAGTACCACTATTGAAACTAACACAAGACAAACTGTCCGCAGCTGGGATGGAGCCCGGCATCCTGGCATTATGAAGCGCGTTCGCAACGCCTAAGCCACAGACGCCGACCTCCAGTATTAGAGAAAGCCCTTTTCTGAATGCGGATTTCAACATTAGTCCAGCGACTGTTGACTTGAAATGACTCCCACTAGAATAATAAATAATACTATCATTTTGAAGCAGTTCCTTTGCAGAACGTCGCTCTTATCTCCGTCTGCCTGAAAGAAACTCGGTCTCTCGCCAGTTCTCCCGCCTCATGCACTTTCACACTCAAGGAGTCACTTATATCTTGTGCACATCTTCGTGTCGGTCGGCTCCTGCCCCTCCTTCCTGGTACCATGCCTTCTCTATAATTTTTTTTCCAATCCGTCGTGGCGCTTGATATGACCAAAATATTTCAGCTTTCGAGAAAGGATGCTGTGTATTAGCCAATCTTCCTTGATATTCAGATCTTTTAAGATGTCAATATTTCTCATCTTCTTTGTTCAAGATATTCTGAGATTCTTTCTATAGCATTTCAGTTCAAAAGCCCCTATTCTCTTTCTTAATGACTGAGAGATAGTCCACGACTCACATCGGTATGTAGCCAGAGGCAAGATGCATGCTCTCAAAATTCTAATTTTTATGTTTTAATAATACCAGTATTCCTTAATTACTGGTATCCTTCAGTGCCTCGGTTTGTCCTTTCTTAAAATAACAGCCAGCCAGGTAAAAAACAACAGTGGCTGAGGTCAGAAAGGCTCCTCGGGGCGATCTGATACAAATGTGTGAAGTTGTTCACATAGGAGCCAGAACCTGACAGCTCATGTTCCTCTAGCTCTCTGCCCCTAGAATATTAAAAAACAACACTTGTGTGTGTGTGTGTGTAAAGAGACGCTTTGCAACAAGATGAAATGTACAAATACTTCAAGAGATCATTTCTATACACGGCTTACTACATGGTATCCTGGTGACCCAGTGTTGGAGAGAACAAGAATAGATTCACTGCTCTCTAACAAGTATGTCGTAAAAGTGGATAAATTAGGGTTTTACTTTCAAATCTGCCTGATTGCATCTGCCTAAGACACAAGGAACCAGTAGTCTGCATACAAGTAAACCAAATCTCTCAGACGGATGAGCACACTAAACTTATATTCTGGAAAAAGACAAAGTCCAGAAGAGGACGAACTACCACAACTTTCTCCCAGAGTTTACAGCCAGTGAAGGCAAAGAAAAGGAACAAGCTATACACGACTAAAGAAAGAATTCCCCCCCCCCTTTCCCCCCAAAGAAAATTGGGCCAGAAGCCTCACCCCTGCCCACATGTCTAATTCTGTCCTCACTTTGTGCCATCCAAGACTTTCCTGAGACCCTTAGCTCTGTAGGGCTTCATGCAGGAGGAGTCCTTAATCTGCGGCTACTCTGATATTGCAGCACTTTGAGCCTGCCTATCTGTAATAGTCGGCAATGCAAGTCTATATCACATACACACTACCAGAGTATCCATTGCACATTTTTAAAGCAAAATTACCTTGACTCTCAGAACAACCCAGTCCAGGTAACACATGGGGGGGGGGGGGGGAGAAATGGCGGCTTGCCTTATGTTGACAACAGTACCAACCGAATGCCCACTAGTCTATGAATGTGTGTATAATTAATTGCAGGATCGCCGATCCTTACCAGAACAGGATTCTTAAGTTACACCAGCCTGGTGCAGCCGTTGCGGCATTCTAACTTCATTTGATGTTGAACGGGCTGTCTGGGAGATGGGAAGGGGGGGGGGGGGGGGCTGACTAGTCTCAAGGTATGGTGTCTGCTTCGAGTGCTGGAGGTCCCAGGTTCAAGTCCGGTGGACTTCTAGTAATTCCCCTGGTCTCAGGGTAGTGAGATCGGACGCCCGTGTGCATTGTTGTGCACGTAAAAAATCCCTTGGCATTTGGAAATCTAAAAGAGTAGCTTACCGGCGCTGCCCGGGCGAAATTTGGAGTTAAAAATCTTCCCAAAAGTATTGTCAGGGTCCTCGCTGGTGCTACAGAGCCTGTGCACTGTGCCGAGCTTCTTCGGACTCAGACTTGAGTTAGAAGAAGAACGGAGCACTTACAACCGTGGGCCATGATGTTGATCTCTTGTTCAAACTTCAAACCTCAAACCTCATCAAGGATTTCCACTCGTGAACTGAATGCAGTAATTACTATCGTGTAGTTTCACCACCTAGTATGACTTTCACTGCTATTTAAAAAAAAAAACCCAACTTAAAGCTGTCTTATAAAATGGATAAGGAACAAATAATAACATATGCTTTTTCAATTATAATAAACTCTTAAAATTGCAAAGCGGGAAAATTGGTCCGGACTTCATGTTGCTTCCCCAGTACAACCTAACGCTTGAAAGGGAATTACCGGAATTTATGCATATAGAATTGACCATCTTGAGGTGGTAATACTGAGCACTGAAATCCTGGAAGGGGACAGACTGCAAAGCAATGAAGAAGATGGAGAAGCAGATATGCTGAAGGCAACACGTTTCGTTTGTGTATCCACAGACTGCTGTTTCTTTCCTCAGACTGTAAAGTCGTAAACAGATGTCCCCAGCTATACAGCACACAGTCGTGTCTGGTCCAGATGTCTGTCTACGCGCTGACACTGGCTTGCTGTTCTGGTAAGTACACAACAATAGTAGCTTTACGGTATGCATTACACAGTTTTCAAGATGTAGATAGGTTCCCCGCGAAATCCTATCTTCAGTCCATAAATACACACATACATACATACACGTGTACATTCATAAGTACGTACATACTAACGTACGCTCATATATAATACGTAAAAAAAAAACAACAACATCCATACAAGGGCTGGATTGTATATTCGCTTCATATTCGCTTCGGGGCCGAATAGTGGCCCTATTCACTATTCGGTATTCGGCCGAATAGTTGCGGTCGGGCCGAATACGAAGAGTAGTTACCTCACACCCGCTTCTGCATACTCGGGCTTAATGTTGACAACATGGAACGATTGGTTTTGTTGAAAGCT